GCATTTTCCATGTTTTCCTCCTTGGAATCATTTATGTCATGTGGTAAATCTTCTTTACTACCTGCAGAGCCAAGTAGTACCAAAAACTTTTGTAACACAGAATACCATATTAATGCAATTAATATCAATACAGAATGGCACACATCAAAGGTCATAAATTAGTCTCATTATCAAAAATACCAAGCTTGTTCCGTCTTGACTGCAGAAAATCAGTTGAGTTCCTTCCAATAGACCCTTCTCTAGTAATTTGTGGCGCACCACTGCTGACAATATCTCCCCTGTCAATTCCCTTCAAGACCATCTATCCACCAAAGGTACGGAAACATTTTAATATAAGTAAAACAACATATCAGATTCACATTAAACCAAAAGACAGGGCAACTATTACCAATTCTTCATTAGTCAGTGTACATAGTGCAAGAGGTTCTATGGGTTCTTCTTGGGTAAGTGGAGGTACTTGCTGGACGACATTGGAAATTTTCTCACATGATCTCGTGTCTGTTGTCCTGTATACGTCAAGCAGCTTTGTTCGACTGTATCTCCAAGGTAAGGACTCTCCATGGGCAGTTTCACCTTTTTCTGACACATACCCAACTGAATAAGACTGAGCGGATGCATTACTGACAGAGCTAACTCTACCCCGACCAACAGAGAAGGTCAGGCCACTAGTTTCCCCACGTCCCCGACCATGAGTAAACACAGGAGCCTGTCTGCTTGGGGTCAAAGTTTGGTGAGGAGGAGGGTCTACCCTTCCTCGGCTGTGGGAGTTCATTCTCCAAGGACGATAATGATCCCCCTCCTTTTCTTCCTTTCCATGATAAGCAAGACTGGATGGCCCTTTATCAAGAAGTAGGTCTGAGTCTTTGCTGGATTCTGCCCACTTCTCACGCACATTATCTGTCTCCTTATCATCAGGCCCCCAGCGTGTGTTCCACTTGCTCTCCCGACGCTGATCATGGTTGCCGTCCCTATTTCCCAAATCCGTCCATCGCTCAGTTGGGCCACGGCGTGCATCAGCATATTGTCTTCCTGATGAATCAGTCCAACGATCTGTTTTGCGGTTGTCAACAGGCTCTTTCTCACCATCCCTCCATCGATCCCTACGAACAGCTGAATTGGTATCCCTTTCTTCATCACGCCAGCGATCACGCCGGCCAGATTCCATATCCAGCACAGAAGGCCGGAAGACATCTTTCTTCTTATTGATCTCGCGTGTGTCCTCACCAATTCCAGGTGATTTCATGATATCTGAGCGACTGGAATAACCCGGATGAGGGACAAAATGGTTCTCCTGCTACAGGAACAAACAGGTAACATTCCCATGAAGACATAAGAAATGCTCTAAAATAAAATCCTACAGGTTTTCAAACAAAATTCCTACACATGTTTAATACCAGTGGAAGGTACTACTTATCACTACAGGGAGAAAAGATGTAATTAGACAAATTAAAGTGCTGGGCACAGTAAAGTAGTAGCATACCCCAGTTATCCCACTCTTAATCTCCCCTGGCTTGGAGAGAAGCCACTGCGGTGAAAGCGGAATAGGATTCTCCGACGCTTGTGCATCTACAGAGAGGGAAAAGGCTATAACATAATCAAACATCAAGACATAAAATAGGCCAGAGCATACTCCATCAAAGAAGAAGAAAATCATTGCAAACAGGATGATTTCTTAAACAACCATCGCAGCCAGGATGATACATCCTCACTTCCAGTATGACACAAGATTTAAGAAATGGCCAGTCAATTGTTGTCTATTACATCATGACACCAGCTCTTCAAAAATTGAGAACATTGCCCACAGGGGAGGAAAAGAGAATGCATTCCTTCCATTTTATCCAAACAAAGGGTTAGCAGCAACACGCCTAAAGTCTTGTATCATAGAACAGCTATTCAAACATGTTCCATATACAATTAAAAATAAAGAGCCACACAGTTTGCATAATCAGCAGTAAATGTTTACCATCACAATTCAAGGCCAGAAACCAAAACAAGAAGAAGAAGAAGCAGCAGCAAACCAGAAGACAAAGATCCAAAAATAAGGTACCTTTTTCTGTTGTAACTGAACTTTTGAGATAATAGAAATGATCCAAAAATAAGGTACCTTTTTCTGTTGTAACTGAACTTTGGAGATAATAGAAATGAGATCTTCACTGTTAAAACTTTTTTAACTAACAAGGGGGAAAAAATTTTAAGAAGAGGGTTTTCAACTGGGTACTTCAATCTCCCTCACAGCTAAATTACAGAATAGCATAACTCTGGTAAGACAAGGTTAGTCCAAAGCCCCATATGCACGATGTAGCAGTGGGACAGGCCAAGAAATTTCACAAGCAATGGACATATACTGAGCTCAGAATTTCAAGCAGAAGTTCTTAAAATGAAAACAGAAACAAGAAAGAATTGAACCAATATCACACAAAAGAGCTATCGTGAACAAAAAGAGGATTGAAACATTGAAATGAAAAGACATTTTCTTTTTAGCTCTTTCAAGAAATTACGTCTGCAGCTCATTCACAAAAAAAAAAAAAAAAGATTAATATCCGATTAAGATGACCATGGTTTCAAATTTTGGCAAAGCAGTAAATTGAAATGTCTACAGAGTCCTTCACTCTCTAAAGGTTAGCCAGATCAAAAAGGTTCCCGCATTCTACCAGTAATTTCAACATTTCAAGGTATTCCTATTGCAAATGTACAAGTAGCACGTGACTTCCACATTGTACAGGTTTTCTTATTTACCTGTACAGTCTGTCACCTAATAATTCATTGACCTTCCATCTAATCTACACGCAAAATTCATATCCAAAATTGTTTTTTCCAAAAAAAAAAGGTTGAAATCAAGAAAGCATGATCACTTAAACAATCTGTACTCGTAATTTAGCTACAACACTATCATTTCCAGCTATTCAACAAAACGTTTATTTTTTATCTGCTCTGCATTTCAAATTTTGGAAAAGAAATACCAGAAAAAAGACAAAAAATGCATCAGTAGAAAATAACAGGAATAAGATACCTGCAAAACCCTTTTTTCAGCTAAGTATTTCGCACTCCTATCAAGATAAAGCGGCGCCCTGGCCCCGCATTCAGATTATACCCCGAAAAAAACCCAATAAACCAAAACCGATACAACCACCGCGAAGCATAAACGCAATTTATCCCAAAATTAATCTCAAAAAAGAGGTTCAAAACTTAAACTATAATCAAACAAAAACCACTAGAAATTCAGCAGGAATTTCCTACGACAGGGGAAGCCAAAAAATTTTAAGATAAAAAACAGAAGCAAAGCATCGCCATTTCTCTCCTCTCATCCACAGAAAATAAGAAGCTTTCAATGGACGAATCAAAAACCCTAAACCTTACAAAACATCTTTCACGCGCCGCGATGAAACACACAGGTAGCGGCTTCAATCTAGGTTTTCAATCAGCTACGGATGAAAAATGTAGAATTAATAACAAACTTCAGATAAAATGTACATAGATAAAAATCAATCAAATGAGAAGGGGAAACCTTTGGAGATCTGGCTAGGGCGAGAATCGAAGTCGGTCTTATCAGCCATGGACGTTGATGAAGACGACTCAAAGAAAAGGTAGAGAATTATTTGCGGCCGAAGAAACCCTGCTGCTACTGCTGCTGTGTGCTGCTAATTTCTGATTGACTGCTCCGAGGTGGTAAAAAAGAGGGGAAGGCAATTGGGGGACATATAAGGGCAAAGGGCAAAGGGTGGATAATTGGAAAAGACGGGTTTAGTTTTGCTGGGTGTCCATCGCGGCGTACGTTAGCAAAAGCGTCTCGTATCCCATGATTAGAGTAGTCGATACTTTCACGCGCTCATGCTCCGGCGTGGATTCCACGCTGTTAATGAATTGACTGTTAAGCCCCTGAATGGTTTTATCGTGTGGTCGATTGGGGAACAAATGAAAGTAAGGAGTGTGATGGACTCTGTGGATGAGATAATTTCTATTTTGGTTTCTGGATTCTAATTTTGTTTCAGGGTAAGCTACGTGGGCACGTTAAAATGGCTACCTGATGATGTGGCTTTATATTATTGGTCACGACGCAGCCTGATTTTTTTAAAGTTTAAGCATCCCTAAGGACCCTAACTCGTTAATGTTCTTTAGCATAATTTTAAGGGTAATTTCATAAACCTCCCTAACAATTGCAGCCATCTCCCTTAAGATTTGAAAAATCACACTTATCTCTTTTAGTGTTGTTAAGAAGACTATAATAACTTTGATAACTTTACAAATTCTAAATGAAAACTTGGTGTAAAGGAAAAACAATCCGCATTTTGCAAATATTTCTTTATTCAATAGCTATAACCTCATCTCACCTAATAAATCGTATTTAATTCCTAAATCATTTAAATGGATTTCTTACTTAGTTTTATAAATAACCTACTAGTGGGGATGTATTTGTTAAAAATAGTTTCTTCACAACTTACCTAGTAAAGGAAAAAAAAAAGGAAGTTCAAACATTAAAAAATGATGCCTTGAAATATGGCCTAAAGTTTACTGTAAAGAATTACCTTAAAATTTTTTATTTCGTATGTAATGCTGATATTCGATTTCTTTTGTCATCTACTTTGTTTTGTAAATCAAAAAGGGGCAATATAGGATATTCATTAGACTTTTTGTACTTGCATCCCTATTTGTTATCAAAACATATTTTCTAGTAGAGGTTTCTATAATTTTTCAAATTTTAAGGGAGGTAACTACAATCATTACAAACCTCAAGGGAGATTTCTGAAATTGTCCCTAATTTTAACCGACCTCACAGATTAAACTGATAAACGTGGTTACGAAATTTTCCTTGATTTTGTACCTGGGCTCTTGGTTTTTTTTTTTTTTTTCAAACTAAGGGTAATCCCGTTGTATTAATCTCTTTTGTCTTCTTTTTTTATATTGTAAAAGTAGTAGTTTGACCTTATCCTAAAACCCGTATCAAACTAAACTAACTCTTATGTGCTGCGATATTACTCGCGAGAATCTGATTCTTTTTCTGTTCCGGCTTGGTCTTCAGTGCAACAGATACCAAAGTGCCTGCCAGAGGCAAGGCAAGGATTTCTACAGATTTGAGCATTGACATTCCTCCAGGAGCCTACGGTCGTATTGGTACTAATATAGCATTCTTTCTCCGCATAATTGAACTGTTTTTTTTTCTCCCCTCCAGGAGCCTATGCCCTTATGCCTAAACCTTTCTTTTTCTAGCTGCACGGTCGAGCCTGGCATGGGATCATTCGATTGAAGTTGGAGGTGGTGTTGTAGATGCTGACAAGAATCCAGTTTTTGTGATCTTGTACAATCATTCTGATGTTGATTTTGTAGTTAAGGTTGGAGACAGAATTGCTCAGCTGGTCATTGAGCTTAATGCAACACCTGAAGTCGTGGAGGTTCATCAGCCCTGACTGACCACCCTTAAAAGCTACTTGTTAATGGTTTCGTTATCTCTCGAATAATGTTGTTTGGAACCTCTTGCATTCTGTTAATTAAGAAATTACTCGCTATTTTCAGTTCGATGCTATTCCCAAGAACTGTGTTCCCAGAATTGAAACGAGTTGTTCTCGAACACAATCATAACATATGGGGACGATATGAACAACGAAGCAATGATCAATTTAACGTTCATGCTCGAACTTATCAGTGCAACATCACGAAAAATATCAAGAAAACTTATGAGCATTCTGATAGGAAAGAAAACCTACGAATCTATTGTATTACAGACGCAGTACTATAACTTAGTGGATACTCGTGAGATCTTCAAGAACAGAAACGTTGTTGAACTTCATAAAGTGATCGACAAGATGGACAGGTCATGTTTTTGGTCAACCAAGGATCAATGCACTGAACATGGAAGACATGGCTGCAGGGAGGAAAAGCTCTACACAACTGTGCATTCTGGATGCTATCCAAACATATGGCACAGGTCGATTCAGATCCTACCTTGTGGTAGTAGAAACAAGCCGCTTTTTGCAATTCCTCTGCAGATAAGCCCGGACAATCTTTATCACCACTTCTGTCGTCGTTTGGGTGTGTGAGGTCGATCACAAGGTAGCATATGATAAGATATACAATAATTATAGCAACAAGACTGATGCAAGAAAGAGGAGGAGGTAATTCAGTCAAAGAACAAGCCATTTCCTTCCGGACATCGGCAAAAGAGATCAGCTTGAAACTGAAGAACAATCGAAGAAAATCCCAAATGAAGTTGTTGTAAAACCGAGACCATATATTGACAATTTGTGATTTGACTAAAAAACTTCGAAATAGGTTCAATTGGCTAATGTTGCTTGGCAGCCGGATGCTTGCACCCAGGCATAAAGATTGGCTTTCTGCCTGGAAGCACGTGCCTTTTTCCTTCAAGAACACTAGACCCATGGTGCTTTGCTAATTTTGGACTCCATCCAAATCCAAAAGAAGATGCAATTACCCTCGATAAAAATGGAAAAATCTATCCGCAACGTCTATTTAGTGTCTGTCAAAATCTTCATTTTTGTTATATTATATACTAGCAGGTGTTTATCACAACAATTCCACACTATCCCAAACACACTCACTGTTGCTCTCCTTTTCCATTCCCTTTTTTCTTGGTGAAAATGACTAAAATTCTATTCATTTATCAAAATAGAAACCTAAACTGACTTGAGCAATCCTACTGTCGGCATTTAACCTCATATCCTTCCCTCAGCAGCATTAAATGACAGAGAAAAAAAAAGTACATACAAAAATTTATTGATACAAAGGACCACCTCGTACATTGATACTCAACTAGTTATTGATACTCAAAAATTTATTCATACAAAGGACCACCTCTTACATTGCATAAAGATGAGCTTAGTAATACTTCGGACCACACGACAGGAAAGTGTTTAGCAAGGGAAACCAAACAACATATTTTTATTCCAACCATCAAGATGGTCCTGTACTCATGTTAGCATGCCTACTAGAGGAACTCAGAGAGCACAATATTTTATACATCCACATTTCCAAGTTAGATCTTAGACTTCCATGGAGGTGGCTTATGGAAGACTGCCACCAACAGTTTATACTGACCGGTGATTGAGTCATTCAAAATGATATGCATGAAGAGGAAATCCAAACTCTGGCGCAATTTAACAACCATTAGTTGGTAAAACAAGGTGCATTTATCTCTCAAAGTGGCAACAATTGCTTCAGCCGCCAGTGCCACTCTACATCTTTGGCAGGAGAGTGGAAGGATCAGATGGAACATCAGCACTTGCCTGCCAAAAACAAAAACTTTTAACTTGGTACCTAGTGCTGTCAATATAATGTTAAGTCCTGCGAATCTGACATGTTACTCACCTGTAGGTATCTTGAAAGCACTGTGGTAGTGCTGAAATTGAAACCCTCAATTGGTTCTCCTTTCCTGCGCGACACATGAAGTTGTTTTCTAACTTGAGAGGCCAGCGACTGCATCACATTTAGACCACAAGGGGAGAAAAAAAATCAACACTAACTCTGGCGGAGAAATTCAAAGTTAATTTTTAAATTACTTAGGAAACGGAGATAAAAAAAAATGCACCAGCATGACTGCTTGAGTATGAAGAAGAAGAAAAGTTAACTCAAACTTTGTGTTTTGAGGGAAGGGGGATGCGGTGCTTGGCAGTGTCGCAAAGATCTTGTACAAAGGAATACAAACCTTTCCCAACTCCACTCCCCACTGGTCGAAAGAATTAATACCCCATACAAAGCCCTCTACAGCAATCCTGTGTTCGTAGATTGCCAGTAACTGGAAAAGAATACCATCAGCAAAATCAGCAAAGCCAGAAGCAGAAATCTTTACGTATTTACCAAGGATGCATTAAAATTTTCCAGTATAGTGCCAAAAATAGAGCAGGAAAGGAAAATTAGTCTAATTTAGGGAGTTGTACCCTGAGAGGACAGCAATTACTTTCATTCAACCCCAAGTTAAAAGTAGATGCACTCATATCTATGAGGAAAAGGCTATTCATCAGCAATAGGTGTCATGAAGTTGGTTTTCACGTAAGAAGAATTTAAATGAAAAACATTCATGAAGCCCTCAACAATGCAGTTCCACAACTGCAGCGTCAAAGAGTACAAACCCTAAAGTCCTCAAAGCTCCACCATAAGCAATATCATGAAGCAGTAATCCAACAGCGACTCTGAAAACTACACAGACAAGACTAATGAAACTCTCAAAATCTTGACCTACATCATGATGTCCAGTTACAAGCATTGACCTTATAGTTTGATCTGTACTCACAACCAACTAATCCATTTGGGCCACAGGTATATTCATCATAAATTTAAGATTTCGTAAGTCTGATACCAAATAATCTTGGAAAACCAGAAAAAGTATCAAAATGGTTCAACTAATGTTCAAAAGGAAAGCAAAGCTTTATAAATCCCGTACCTGCCCAATGTTATAAGCACTTAGTGATGGGAGAAGTAAACTGATAGAAGGTCGATTTCCACAAAAAGTCTGCAAATGTAACAGAATTGTAAGCTAAGAAAATTTTCACGAACAAGAATATTAATAAGAAGATGTGGGGATATTACCTTGTGGGGAACTAGATGCTGGGGAACATTTTCCTTGAGTAACTGTTCTGCGGTCTGAAAGCAGATAAGTTAGGATACAGAAAATTTGAAGTTCAAAAATATGCATGTTTTTTACAGTATTAGCAGCATGCAATATAAACAACAGAAACCTAAGAGAAAAAAAGATACAGCAAAGAAGTTAGGAGACTAATAGTCCAAGTCTCTGAGAGGCCTGTTAATTTTGATCTTCACCAAATAAACAAATGTCACAAATTTGAAGAATGAGAAGCTAGAAAGGGAAGCAGAAACACTGGCTTATTACCTTCCCATAAGCAAGAGCATCAGGCTGTGCAAAGAAGTTTGACATGAGCTCATCATGATTACTCACAACTTCACCTGCAAAACAAAACTTGTCCTATCAGGATAAGGTAATCTCAGAAGCAGAAATTTGTACCCAAATGCGGAATATACAAAACAAAGAAAAATTTACCTTCCAAGTATACAGGTTGCTGACTCTTGACAATGCCAATAAAGTCGCAAGGAATAACACGGCCCTGATTTTTCAAGGATAGTACAATCAAAACTCTTTCATATAGGAGATCATACTAAAGCTCAGTGGGATTGACTGCATACCAGTTAGACCTCATAAATGGAAAAAGCCTATTTGATGATGTACTTAAAATATGAAGGCAGATACAGAATGCAGGCAATCCACAGCTCATGGATCTCAAAAACATATGACTCTTACACACCACATCTATTAATTTCACTTACAGATGGCATTAGCTGAAAACTCACACGGGTAGAATAGTCCAATATTATAACCTTGCAAGTCTAAAAAATTGAAGAGGTACTATGGTGAAGAACACTACCTGGTGAATTAACTGGTAAAAACTGTGCTGACCGTTTGTCCCTGGTTCACCAAAATCAATTTCACCAGTCTCATAGGGAAGTGGCACACCGTCAATAGATACCCCTTTGCCATTGCTCTCCATGCTAACCTGAAGTCAACCAAATTTGGAATAAGAAAGGAGCAAGAAGCATTGCAATGAGAACAGAGCGAAAGGAGTTTCAGCAGCATGCCTGTTGAATGTGGGGTGCAAGTTTTTCCAATGCTTGAGAATAAGGTAAAATGGCCTGAAATCATAAAGACTACATTCAGTGTAATGGCTTAGCCAAATAAAGCTTCATCAAGTATAAATAAATTAATCTGCCTAAATAGTTGTTTCTTAAAAGATAATGTACTCACTCTTGCAGGATAGCCAAGGAATGAAACATTCCACACGCTCAACAATCCCAACAGAACCTGAAGTATAAAAGAATGCTTCTGAGAAGGAAAAAGTGTAGTGCAAATGTAAAGCTGGACCGCTAAAACACTACCAGCAAAAACTAAATAAGACTGAAATGAGAACTAAGTGTGAAATCAAGGTAAAATTTTTCCAAAGGAAAAATAGTCCCTGCTGATAGGCAAAACAAGAAGAAGACTCGGAGAGCTAAGAAGCCAGCACAAAGACAGATACCACAAAGAAAATCTTACAATTTCAGAAACACCCTGGGAAATGCATGAGAGGTTAACATACAGGCAAATGCATAAGGACCTATTACATTCACAGAACATGTCGATACAGGATGTTTTAGAGATGCCTCAGCAGAGATAAGTGTACTTTAACCCCAAAAATGCTTCTCAACAGGGATTCAAAAAATTATGGGCTATATACATCATATGTATAATAAATGACACAAAAAGGGATGATTATTTGGGTCTGTACAGGTATATTCTTCTCAAAAGGTGCCGAATAGAAATGCTGATCAACACTCCATGCTCCCTTCAGGAACCTTTGAAGATGAAAATGATGGGGAATGTCAGCAAATATAAACTAAAACTAAACAAGTAGAGAGTACTAAAAGAGAATAAAATAAAATAAAAAGAAAACCAGCAAAAATGTTTCAAAGAATAGCATCAAGGAAGTCACGAACAAAATTTGAGTCCAAATATGAATTCCAAAGAATGCAGATTATTATTAATATGTCAAGTTTTATGTCCTGATGCCTTACAAAACAAAAAAGACTTCAGAATATAAGAAGTGAAGATCTGCTTAAACGTGTAAAACTTCCTTGATCTTATCTCAAACTTAATTCCAATTGGAGGAGAAGTACTTAATTACTGCAAAAAGCAAACAAAATTCCTTTATGAAACAATAGGAAAGCAAAATGACAGGATAAACATAACTGGAATAAATGGATATGATGTTCAAGGATCCATATAAATGGATAATTATGCAATTTTGTAAAACTCCAAAATTTTCTTGTGGTTCAGCAGATAGAATTAAATCAGATGAACAGAATCATTCAGCTTATCAAAATCCCAATGGGTGCTGCAGAATGCTTAAAAAGGGAAGAAAGCTGTAAGTTAGCGTACTTCTCAACAATTGAGAAACCGTATTGCAGCGACAGAGGCAACACTCCAACAGCACTGCACACTGCAAATAGATTTAAGTTCATCATGTGCAATAGAAAGAGAAGTTTTTCTGACAAGTTAACAATACTTACCACTATATCGGCCCCCCACCCAGTCCCAGAAAGCAAAAGCATTATTTGGATCAATCCCAAACTTTTCTACGAGCTGCAATAAAGATGAAGACACACAAAAATTGAAGCAAGGGATTATGATCTAAAGCTTACCAAATCCAGCCGCAAGAAGTGATAAGGGAAAAAAAAAACCCAATGAGAAAGAAGAATTTGAAGAAAAACGTCCTCACCGTTAGGTTTGTACTAACAGCCACCATATGCTTGGCAACTGCCTGAGGACTACAAAATAACAATTGGGAGTCAGGAAGAATTTGATAAAGCACATTTTTGCACAAGTTCTAATAAAGCACATTTTTGCACAAGAATTTGATAAAGCACATTTTTGCACATTTTTTACACAAGTTTTAACAGTTTAACTGGCTTCAAAAACAGAACATAGTCTGAGCTACATAGTCTAGACTTCTAATAGATGTCTAGCATATTGCCAGATATTAGTAGCTGGACAGAATCTGTTCTCCTACAAATTAGATTAGGTCCAACTCAGATTAATGCAGTTTGACTCTAACCAAGAGATGCATGAGAGTGATGCAGTTGAGGTGAATGAGAGAAACTCGTATTACTAAATTATGAAATTTTGTCACACAAATATCACTTCAGGACAATCATTGAGTAATACATACCCCAATGCAGATGAAATCCATTCCCTGAGTGTCCGAGCATTCAGCATAGTCTCAGCTGTAGTAAATGTCTTTGAAACCACCACAACTGCACTTCCCACAAGTCCGCTCAAAATGGCATCCAAAGTGCAGTTAAAAAAATGACTCAGAATTTAAAAAAAAAAAAAAAAAACTTATTTACCTAGGGTCGTTTCAGGGCTCAGGCCTGCAATATTTCTTGCAACGTCAATGGGATCAACATTGGCAAGACTGCAGTCCCAACATAAAGAAAAGAAGTAGCAGAAAATAAGTTTAAGTCAAGTTTAAGAAAAAGTAACGAACTAAGGTATCAAGGATTTTCCAAATTATGCCATATAGCTGGAATTTAAATGCAAATGAGCAAGGGATGATCAATGTCAACATTGCTGTAAGTTAGAGCACTATATTATTTGAGAATAAGATCAACTTTTTCTTCACTGATGGTAATTTGTTTATGAATTTGACCACTGCTTGAGGCATCCAGAGTGCAAACCGTTATCCATATTTACCTGAGAATTTAATCATTGTTGAACTAATCCAATCTATTCTTCTTTTCTGCTTTTCACTTCTTTTTCTTCTCTCAACTTTTGCAGCCTCAACCACTAGCATTATACCGTTCTTGAGTAGCTTAAGCTATTAGAAGATGAAAATGAGATAAATTTTTACAATTGAACCCCAACCAAGAGCAATGAAGCAAAAATTGGCCACCTTAGAAACCAATTTTAAGACGACATGCACAGTTCAGCCATATCAGGTCAAACCCTCAGGTAAGAAATTTCTTAACCCCCTGATCTTACTAATAATGAATTGATCCTCCAACAATACCTAGTTTACCTCCCAATTAGAACAAAAACCCCCTGCTCCCAACCCCAACCAAAAAGAAGGAAGGAGAAAGACAGCAATTTTGGGTCATCACTCATTTATTAGTTCATTTTGACTTCACATCCCCCCAAGTTGTCCTGCATGCACCTCCACTGGTCTGTCAACTTGATGAACTGGATAAATACAGTTTTATTATTCCAAAAGCCCAAACTGTCTTGCATCATGTTCTAAATAACGAGAAAAGTCCCAAACAGAGCTGAAATAGATGAATTTATGCCTTTTATTCTAGAAGCTAGAGCAATATAACTTGATTAAAATTTCAACGTCAAATTTAAAATTCGAAAGTGCCAAGATATGAGAAATTAGAAAACTTTCTGGTGCAATAACGATTTTATAGGTTTGTCCTCCAATATCAATAATAAAAACACTAATTTATGCGGTCACTTACAAACGAAGCTGGCGTCCCTTGGCAGATTCAATAGCCTCTGAATCTATAAGTTGCAAAAGATAAACAGTAAACGTTTAGCATCTGCTTGTTATTAGAGTTATGGATATGTCAACCAAATGAACAGGAAATATAACAAAGAAATATTGGAATAAGAAGTTTTAATACCAAAGTGAAATGTGCAAACCTGTCTGAAGGGCGGTATGGACAAACAAAGGGCCCAAAAAGCTACCACCAATGCCAATAGCAACAACATCTTTCAGTGGCTTTCCCGTGGCTCCAACCTACAATTGTATGCCCATGAGTTAGTATTTAGGCATTATATATGCATAAATGGCTCAGAGAAAAAAGGAAATTACCCAAGCACCACTGCGGACCCTCTCAGAAAACTCCCGGATCTTGTCAAGCACTCCCCACACATCAGGAACCACATTCTTCCCATCACTTTTAATAACTGCATCCCTAGGAGCACGGAGTGCTACGTGAAGGACAGACCTATTCTCTGTGCTGTTTATCTGAAGATGCCACCAAATAAACATTACAATCCTACCGTAAGAATTATAACTAACCATGCAAATATATGAAATATAGCTGAAACGCAGGTACTTTTTTATCAGATATATGAAAAATGATACTCACCCGCTCCCCATTGAACATCCTGTTAATCTTGTCTTTAACATGTGCTGCCTGCATTATTCACAAAAAGAGATAAGTAAATTATAAATAACTTATCCAACTTAAAAAAAAAAACATGGTTTCCAAATTCACCTCTGCTAAACTCAAGAGCTTGTTCAGGGTGTCAAGAGTGGCTCTCTGTCTTGAGTAGTCAAGCAGGTTACCATCAAACTCGCTGCACGCATTTTATAACATGACGACTGATCACTTATCGAACACCAGTAACTTCTTAAAAACAGCTTATTTAACTCAGTACATGCAAAAGCCAACTAAACTTTTTCAAAGCTAACAAAATCAAAAGGAAATCAACAAAAAGTGTAGGTTGATGGGGGAAGCTAAATCAGGATCATACACCATCATTGACTTGCAACGTTCAGTATCGGCCATCAATTCGCGCAAATGAGTCTTCTTAATATCCTCAACATGGAACTGCAGATGCATCCATAATCAGCTAACCATAGGAAAATAAAGAAAACGTGGCATGGCATGTTAATCACTACCTTCAAATCCTTCCATGACTCGCTGTCGCAAATTAGAGAAGATGAACCCATCTGCATCAGTTTCAAATCAATTTTGTGACTTAGAATCCCACACGATCAAAAACCTCAATGCACAGAAAATGTACGAAATTCCATTGGGCATCAGGGAACCATTGATCAGCATCAGAAATCACATATTGCACATTTTTAGTCAAACCAATTATTTTTTAAAAAAAAAACTATACAGAAAAGGATCGTTTTGGGTGAGTACCTGTGGTGGTTTGATTGAAAGCGGTAATAGCTACCTCCAAGCCAAACAGAAATTTTGGTGAAAGATTGTTGAAAAAGAAAAATGAAATAACAGAGGAAGACGATGATGGAATAGACTAGTTGGCGTGGCCTCGGAACCGATGGCTTTAGCTTGGGAAAGGTCAAAAAGCCACCTAGCCAACGACGTCGCATGGGGGCTGATCACGGGAGTGTCACGTGCCACAACTGATAGGACGCGACGGGATCGTTCTCAATATCGGTATCCACTTTATGTGGATGGGGCGGTGCTGATTTTGATGGTTTACGGTGGTAGTTAAAATTGGGGATAATTGCAGATGCCTCCCCTGAGGTTTCTGATATTTTCAATGACTTCCCCTGTGGTTTGAAAAAGAACACTGACCTCCCCTGAGCTTACTAATCCTTTGCAAATTTAGTCCAAACGATTAAAATATTATTTTAAGAAGTGAAATTAGAATTTTGTACCAGATTTATCCTTTGTGCTACATATCCAATGAATGACAAAGTACTATAAATTAATTAATAATTAATAAATTTTAAGGAGTATAATTTATGGACAAACACGTATTACTCATTTAAAGTACCAGTTCTTTACAAGTATTTTACTTTCAAATATTTAATTTATGATAAATATATCAATATTTGTAAGTAAAATTAAAAATTGTTATAGTAATATTCTTGCAAAAAAGAAATCGATAGGTTATTTATTTAATATAAATTTTTTTAAAAAATATGGCCATAAAGTATTAATTTTTTATGATTTTCATCCATTACACGAGTAAAGTATTCGCTCTTTATGTGCATTTATTCTGAATCATTTAATTTATGTTAAATATATAAATGTTTGTAACTAAAATTGAAAAAGTATTATATTAATATTTTTACGGAAGAGAGAATGGTAGGTTTTGTATTTAAAAAAAATTAAATATTTGAAAGTAAATACAAATCTGTATTTGAGTGTAAATATTTGTATTAAATTAAATGTTTGAAAGTAAAATACCCTTAAAAAACCGGTACTTTAAATAGTTACCGGTTTTTTATAGGTAAATACGCATTACTCATTTAAAATACCGATTTTTTACTGATATTTTACTTTCAAACATTTAATTTATGATAAATATATCAATGTTTGTTAGTAAAATTCAAAAAGTGTTACAGTAATATTCTTGCAAAAAGGAAATCGGTAGGTTATTTATTTAATATAAATTAAATATTTTTTTAAAAAAATGACCCATAAAGTATTAATTCTTTATGGTTTTCATCCATTACATGAGTAAAGTATTGGTTCTTTATGTGTATTTTATTATGAATCATTTAATTTATGTTAAATACATAAATGTTTGTAACTAAAATTGAAAAAGTATTATATTAATATTTTTACGGAAGAGAGTTTGGTAGTTTTTGTATTTAATAAAAACTAAATATTTGAAAGTAAATACAAATATGTATTTGAGAGTAAATATTTGTATTAAATTAAATGTTTGAAAGTAAAATATCCATAAAGAACCGGTACTTTAAATAAGTAATGCATATTTGTCTATAAACTATACTCCTTAAAGTTTATTAATTGTTAATTATTTTGTAGTATTTTATCATTCATTGGACATGTAGTACAAAGGACAAATTTGATAAAAAAAATTTTAATTTCACTCCCTAAAATAATATTTTAATTATTTAGACTGAATTTGCAAAGAATTAGTAACCTCGGAGTTCAGTATCAGTGCAAATGTCAGAAACCTCTTCTGCAATTATCCCTTAAAATTGACCTGCAACTAGACGTTGTCGTTTACGGTGATTACAGAATGCGCCCACAGTCTCGCGGTCGAATCAGGGGAGGAACAAGAGTTGATTTTGACTGTTTTGGGTTTGCGGTGGTGTCCTCTAAAAAAATTGTGGGAAAAACATGTAAGATTTCCGTTACCGGAAATCGAACCCGGGTCTCCTGGGTGAAAGCCAGACATCCTAACCGCTGGACGATAACGGATCAAGTGTGGGCATTGTCAGAATTTTTTACACTTGAACAGAACATACAAAATGATGCAGAGAAAAATTTTTTTTTTCCTAGTGTGCAAAATTTATTGCTGTAAAAACTGTGGTAATGCTGTTCTGGTTAATCAAAATTCACAAGAAACACATTTGTGTTTCGAGAAATATTTTTGTGGGACAATTCTCATGCACATGATTATAATCTGGTCTTTTACTTTTATCTATAGTGTGCAGAGTTCATGTATCCAAATGGTGTATGAAAAGGGTAACAGAATTCAAGATTTTGGCCGTAAAATTCATATTATCCTATTTTTCAGGCGTATGTAAAATATTACCTTTACATGAAAGGAAGAGGGGTGTGTATACTGAGACATTCAGGAGAAGGCAATTTGTCCATGGTCCGTATGAAATTGGTAAAATTGAAGTGAAAGTTTCAAGCCATAATTACGGGATATATTGTAGCTTTCCTTTTTCGAATGTTGTGATAATAATTCTAAAATAAACTACTTATGTGCGACAAGTTTACAGGGTGCAAATTCCGAGTGCTTGCAAGCTTTTATATGTGTTCACAATTGTCAATAAAAGGGCAAGCTGATGATGACATGTTCTCAAATAGATTTTGAATCGTGTTTGTTAATTAAACTAATATTCATTTTTTATTCTTAATATTTTTTTGGTTACATATTATTCAATACAATAAGTACTTATTGAATTATGTTTCCAAACAATATATTTAAAAGCACTTAAACAGTATATGAATATTTTTATTAGGAATGTGTTTTTGAATAAACTGTCGCAATCCCAAACCGGCCCTGATATTCATTTTTTTTTATTCTTAATATTCCTTTTGTTACATGATTTATTACAAATTGAGACATTTGCCGGTGGAAAGACAAATTTATAAGAATTATAACAACTAAGACTGAACACATGCACGTGTCCGAAATTCTATAGTTTTCGGTTCCTAATTCTTGGAACTCATGGCTACTTTGTATCCGGCAATAATTAATGTTAGTGCCTGTTTTTGTGAAACGCGGCACAAAAGGACTAGATCAGTGGTAAAAGTAAATGTAGGGTCCAATGTCCAAATATGATTCAACAATTTCTGATATATATAGAAGATGTAAAGAAATCTATTCCACATAAATGATAAATATTGAAACAGTGAACTACAGCACAAGCAGGGCAACAACATATTAGGCAACTCGAGCCTTTACAAATTACAATTATCAGGCAGATTCCTTCTCCACGCAGATACCTATACTAGAACCGTGGCACTCTCATTCCACTCCAAACCAAATACAAGCCACAAACCCAAGAATCAGAGAATTTCTGTGCTAGTCACCACTGCTCAAAAGCTACTCCAACAACTGAATTGGATTCCTCTGGACTCTTAGGCCTCTCCACCAGGATATTGACAAGCATTGTAGCCTGCAAAAGGTTCAGAATCAAGAAAAAATTCAGTTAGCATAGACAATAAGGCCATGAAACCAGCTTAGTCAGCCCCTGAAAAATGCGACAAGAAGATCAAAGAGGAGCATTTATTTGAATGGGACAGGTTTATTTGCATGGCTTCCTTTTTCGTATTCCTCATTTCACCTGATGATCAGATTGTTATTTATCGTAGTAGAAATGGGGAAATCATAAACACTACTTCTTTGATGATATTAAGTCAGCCCCTGAAAAGTTCGTAGCTCGTGCTAAAGATGAATATGAGTTATCAGTTTCGATACTAGCTCATTATCCCTATAGAAGTAAGTCTAACTCTGTGAAACTGATAACTAGCAGCGCCCATAAAATTATCCATGAAACTGTTAAGTATCATCAAGAACATGACTGATTAAGAAATGTTAAGCAGAAAATTTTCTCACAGCTAAAAGTAGAACTGTAGTATGGTCCTTGACCCAGAATGTATGCACGCCCAAACAAGTGTTTAAAGTTGTTCAAATCCAGTAACTTACTAGGATTAGTGGTTGAGAGGGTGCAGTCTGTGAAAAATCAAATTCCATGGATTTCTGCCGGCAGTTTGGTACAGAAGGTTCATAGCATAGGTGGCATGTGATGCTATATATATTTGGCTCAAAACAAGCCCCACCAGGTTGAATTGAACTGCAATCTGTTCCATGACTACAAGCATAATCCAAATTTGCTTGCAACTGGGCATCTGATACCCGGCCTTAGGCACACACCAGACACTCTTCTTCGCCTTTGGCGCTGGAGTTGTAGGAATTGTAGGAGTTGCAGGATTCTTTGCATTTGAAGGAGCCTTCACAATTAAAGTAACTTGTGTCATTCCAGAATCCAGAGAAAGATATTAAAGCTAAGCATTTTCTTTTTTTTTTTTCCAAAAAAAAGGAACCAACTTGTAGCTCTGGATGGCATTAAAACTAGACCAAAAAAGAGGGAAGCCTTCGGTTATAGAAGTCAAGAACGCTAAAGGTAAGGGAGCTTCCCCCAATGTAGACAGATCACAGTCTCCTGAAAGTTATCACTGCGTAAAGATAAGATTTTGCATTTTGTGCTGTACTTATCCCAGTCCAGCTTAGAAGTACAGTATTATTTTGTCAATTAGTATCATTTTTTCACTGATCACTTTTGGGAATAGACTATAAATTCAGCAAAATTTCACTTTCATCCACTATTTTCCAAAAAGACTTACAGGTATCCAACAAGTGAATACAGATTGCACACTCCAATGGAAACTTTTTTGTTTGGTAGGTGGCTATCTCTTCAGGGATTACCTAAGCAAAGCTAAGCTTCTTACGCGGAACCCAGCAAAGATGTATGTACCACAAGAGACCCATATGGAGATAATCGTTTTGAGTTCAGGAAATCATCAGAAATTAAGTCAGTTGCACAAACATTTAGAACCCTGGTCTAAACGAGGAATAGAAGCAAATCAACTAAGTCATTAAAGTACAAACTAAGCAATTAATTAGGTTTCTGTTTCAATCGTCTGGAAATCACCTGACTGGTCTTCGAAAGTCCTGCATCATAATTCATTGTCATATCCAGCTTGAAAAGCCCAAATGCTCGCTCTGAACCCGGTCCAGGCTTCAAATCTTCATCGTACAATGCAAAAAGATATGTATCAACTGATTTTCCGGGCATCAATGGTGTTCCGACCATAGACTTTAGGTGTGCAATCAAGTTGCCATT